GTCCCACCTACTGGGCAGCAGAGGTGGTTCCTGCCCAGGGCTGGCTTGGGCAGACTGCAGCCCTGCACCTCATTGTGGGCACAGAAATATATGGGGGGCATGTACTGCCCCCTGAAATGTCACCTATGCTTCCCCATGCATTACCCATGCCTCTTCCTGCTGCCCCTCCCCTCCAAATTTACCCGGAGGGAGCTGCAGGAACTACTCTCCACCACATTACCTGGCTGCCATATGCACCTGATGCTCCCTGCATCCCACTCCCTCCAGCCCCAACCAATACCTTGAAGGCTGGAACTCTGCCAACCTGCAAGAAGAAACCTGCAGTTTTCCCACATTTTTCTCCTTTTAAATGAGAAAATCCAAGTTTTTCCATGGCAAACACAAAACCGAGTTCCCTGGTGATCATATATAGATTTATCTTAAATTGGTTCTTTACTAATTCAAATGCGTGTGATCAATCCTAGACACATCTACAATGCATCTCTACTCCACCGGGAGAGGTATTTGCACAAGGAATGCAGCAATGATGCCACTCCATGGATACCTGGGCTAGATGCTATAACCATTCTGATGCTTGAGACAAGTCTCCAGTATGCCTCGAGAGCAGGGGTCACTGAATTTTTGGGTTTGGCAATGTGACCAGGGTGTACTCGGTTGTGTCTCCACAAGCACCAGCAATGTGATATAGATGTACCGAGTGCAAGTCATTTCTCTGCCAAATTTCAAATAGTAAAGTGTTTCCCCTACCCCCCAGGACAGGATGCACGAAGTCCCTAAGCCATCAATTGGACAACCTTGTCCTAAGCTATTCAGCTACCAGCAAAAAACTCAGACTAAAACGGGTGAGGATTTATTTCAGCTGGCAGATCGTTTAACAAGTTTTGGTGAGCTGTCAAGGGCTGTGCATGAAGTCTTTTAGAAGATATCATTTTAACAAATTATAGATTTAAAAAAGCAAATTATATTTAAAATATTATAGTAGATGTCAGACTTTATTTTATTCCAAAAATATTTTTTCCTGATTCATGGTTTTTGTTTTTATAGTGTATATAGAGACTATGTGTGTGTATATAGAGACTACATACTAGTGCATAATAGCTCAAAATAAAGTCTTGTATATTGTGTGGGGGGGCAAGGGGGAGTGGGAGGTGGGTGGGTGTGTGTGTGTGTGTGTGTGTGTGTGTGTGTGTGTGTAGGGATGCTTGAGCATCAGATCCTGGGAGCTGGCTGAGGGCACATCCAGAAGAGCTTGCCTGGACAGTGCAAGAGCTGGAGTCATTCAGTTGGCCAGCCGGTTCTGGCCCATGGGCCATATTTTACCCATCCTGGCTTCAAAGATAGTAGGAATGAAAAGGTCCATGCAACTTGGCCATCCCCATAGTAGATAAGAGCATTATGTCTCCATTTAATCTCTCATCTAGCCTGTGGGTCACTGCAGTAGCAGTGGACTATTCCAAAATTTTAGATAATGAATATTTTAAAATACCTTTAATAGATGTCACATGTTAATTCAGCAAACCTTAATGCACAATATCCCATTCTTTTGGCCTGCAAGTGCCGAGAATGATTTAGCAGACCAGTACAAACACTTCCAGAAACAGTAAACTTCTAGTCACTGAAGCTGAATAAATGACTAAGAGGAAAATAAAATAACATCCTTGCCACTACTGGAAAAATGTTTAGTGCACAAGCTGGAGATAAAACATGCAGGGAAGACTTTAGAGTAAACTTAAACAGACTGGCAACTAAATACATATTAATCAGGTCATAGTTTAATATTTAAACTACTGGTAAAAATATGCTTGGAGAGTGCTATTTTAGGTTATTTATATAAACAATTTCTCTTTTGAACATGAATTCTGTCTAAGATTTCTCCCAAATGTAAACAGTAACACAACCAAGCTTGGTACGGGTTCCATTAAAAAAAAAAAAAAAAAAAAAAACAAAAAAAAAACCCTAAGGAGAAATTCCTTTCATTGTAAGTCTGCCAAAGAAGAGAACAGGGTAATTAGAAAAGGTTCCCAGATCTTAGTTATGTAAAAAAGACATTCTAGTCTGCTTAAGTCCAGTTCAACAAGAAAAAAAAAAATGGACTGTAGAAATCATTACTTCCCTTAAGCTTCTGGGATTCAAGTATCTATGAAGATTTTTCACTTCAGGCCTAGTATTTCCAAGTGTTCTTCATAGTTCATAATACAAAGTAAGAGAGATGGCACCATTTGGAGATCACTGGGTAGGCAGCTTTGAGATTCAGTATCTACTTAACAAACATGTTTGGTTACTAGCTGCAGCATTATGTTGAGACAGAAAGTACACTTACCCAGCCCTTTCTGGATGACAGATAAATCTGCTCTAATCACTTTTTGGTTGATTTGTTTATTTTTTCCTTTTTAACCTAATCTTGTTTATTGGTATTCAGGATGTAGCTGGAACATGAAAACTACTAAGTAGTAATGCCATGTTCATTAAAATGCCATAAATTAAGAGACATTATATGGACACCAATTTTTTGCTTTCTAAGTTATGTTTAGAACTGTGTTTTAAATTGTGACAATTCAGTTCCAGCAGAACTAGTCCATATCCTTCAATTCATGTTAGAATCCAGTGTTATCCTCACAATTTTCCATAAAGGAAAAAAATGAACACCCAGGAGTGAAGTTTCTGTCCAATATGCTAAAAATACACTAACTGAAATACCTAAATTGGTCTTCCTATCAGATTAAATTTGGATTTCTTTCCAGCTGTAATGTGAGAAAACAAGTTACATGCCACAGAACAAGCAATCATGTTTTCTTCCCTTCAGTAGTGTTAAAATATATGAAAATTAGCACACTATTTTATGATCAAGTTTACTCGAAAGCACAATTAATGCAAGTGTAATTCAGAATATCAACTAAAAAAAAGTTCATATTTTTTAGTTTGAAATTGTGAACTTTAATGCTTGAAAATGTTTTGCTTTCTGAATGAAGTGGGGCACTGAATTAAAAAGATCATTTCCCCCTGGAAAAAAAAAAAGTCAACCAATAGAAAAGTCTCTTCTGTCTGTGTTTACTTGTGCGTATACAACATGCAGTCAAGGGCACAATTTCACTATCCTGTTGCTTGGCTGCATTTCCTGTATAAAGCACTAGCATGACAACATCACTTCTCCACCTGAAAACGAAGAGAGGCAAACAGCCAGGCCAGGGTGCATCTAGTGGGGCTGTTTTTAGTGCCCTCCACTCTTCTGTTATGGGCACTGGAAAGGCAGAAGGCAGGGTGGCTAACCCGAATGCTATGATGATATAGGCTGTTGCTTACAAAAAATTGAGGTCTCTGAACAATTTAGTTTCTGAAGCTGCCACCCTGCCCTGCCTTCTGCCTGACTTCAGACTTTACAGCTACCTGCCTCTCTACGCACTGGAAAAGACTTCAATGCATAGCTATGGAGTTTAAAGAGAGAGGAATTTTAAGACTTGGTACATGCTCTTGAAGAGGGCACTTTGCTATACCAGAACACTTGGTTAAGATTTTCCAAACGGCCCAACATGCGTTTAAATCTGTCTTCCATTCATTGTACAGTATAGCGAGAGATGTACTGCTCCTTCACTTTGAAACTTGACTTGGATTTTTGAGAAAAAAGTAAATGAATACAAAATGTCAGCGTTCTTGTGCCAGTGCTTGTTTACACATATTCCTTACCATTATAAAGTGACAAAAAGATTGTTTTGCATTAAGAAGTCTGGAAAAAGAGATACTAAGATGATACAAAGTGGGGGGGCTGGATCTAATTATCTAGAAGGTCCCTTCCACCCCTAATAACTGTGAAAGTTGCTTTTTTCCTGACCAGCATTAATTTGATTAGAGGCTTAGTCTATCCAGTTTGCAGCTCTCTCACATTCCCACCAAAATACAGACTCTTTAACATGACAGCTTCTTGATGGAAACAGCTAGCCACCTTGCAGGACTGTCGCACCTGTATTCCCCTTTCTAGTTTATTCCAGGCCCATTATCCTGCTCCAGAAATCATTTTCTGTTCCCAGAGGATCTCATGTTTTGAGAACGCAGTCTCCCCGTTACATTTATACCATGCTCTCCGTAAAAGTAGAAACTAGAGGCATTAAATGACTCACTCAAAGCGCAAAGACCCTGTTTCCAATAGACAGGAATGTCTGATGGCTTGGGCCCTCTTGCTGTATGGTGATTTTAAGCTTGTTTCACTATAGGCTATTTCTGAGAAGTTAAGTGCCCTCTAAAGGGCTATTTATATTGAGGTATTTCGGTACGCAAGCCAGACCACTGAAAACAAGCTAGGACAGCCACGACACAAGTGGTCCAAGGGGGACACAACACGCAGCTAAAGAAAACGACCCTTTCCAAGAGGTCACAAAACTGACACGAGGGCAAGAGACACCCGGTCAACTTTACTGTGACATTACAAAGACAGAAGAAATCGGGGGGGGGTGGAGTTTAGGACTAGGGAAACCTTTCCCAGTGACTTTCAACTTGATTTTAGGGGTCTGCAAATGAAGATAAAAGTTTTGAACGGACGTGCATAACTGGGGTCACTTAACTGTGGGTTTTTGCCTACTTTTACAATTCAGAGGGGTCCCTCTGACATTTCAAACGGAGGTGCGGACCCTCTGAACTGTAACCGTGGGTATTCACCTACTTTTAACTGGCCGCGGTCATCTTTCGAGGACCCCTTACATGCTGCGTGCAGACCCCCATGGGTCTGGAGGGCAAATTGAAAACCACCGCCTTCCTGAGTCCGGCCGAATGGGACTAGGGAGACAGAAGAAGGCAGGAGCGACTCGGCCGGGGGCAGGGCGGAGGAGGCGAGGGCGGGATGGCGACTTCATGGGTCTTCATCCACCTTTCGGCTGTCTTATTTCTGGTGGCAAGCAGGCACGTCCACTTGGGCCACGAATGAGTTACCTGCACGTGTGCAAATCCAAACCTGGGGGGCGGCGGAGGGGGTCTCCCTCTCACCACACGGACACCGTTCGCGTGTCCCTTACCTTGAAGACCTTCCCGAACGCGCCGTCGCCGAGCTCGCCGATGATCTCCCAGAACTCCTCCGGGTTCAGGTCCCGCTTGACGTGCTCGTACTGCTTCTTTTTCTTCTCGCCGCCCAGCTTGAAGATCTTGCGGAAGTTGAAGAACGACATCTTCTCCCCCCCCTTGTGTGTGCCCAGGGAGAGGGGGGGTGGGGGTTCAATACTACTCCTACTAGATAATAATAATTATAATGATGATGATGATAATGACTGTTATAATATGGAGGAAGTTCCAGGTTTCAAAGCGGGCTCGGATTAAATAGTAATAATCATTCAAATGCTACTCGTGAGGATCCGAAAACAGGGAAAATCCAGGTTTCCAAGCAGCCGCATCCTTCCCCTCAGCAACCAGCGCGCGGCTCCCACGGGGTAGGGGGAAGGCGCCGTGGCCTCAGGGCTGGCGGCGGAGAGCGGGCCCGGGCACGGCGGCGGCGACGAGGCGGCGGCGGC